TACTTCTGCTTCTAAGTAAGACACACCATTGCTGCACAAACTCTTCCTAATATTAAAAGAGCCCATTTTATGAGGCCACTATTACCGTTAAACCAGAAATATGAGAATTATAAGAAAAGAAAACTGAAGACCAGTATCCTTGATGAATACATGCAAAAGCCCTTACAAATATTAGCAAATCAATTCCACCAGTATAAAAAGGAGATAATACGTCATGACCAAATGGCATTATTTCAGGAATCCCACGTTGGCTTAATATTTGAAAATCAATCAGTATTCATAAACTAACAATGAAAAACCATATGATCATGTCAATGGGTGCAGAAAAAGCATGTGAGAAAATTCAACACTCATGATAAAAACTTATCAAACTAAGAATAAAGGGAACATCCTCAATCTGATAAAGGATGTCTGTGAAAAACTTATTCACACCATACTTAATGGCGAAAGACTAAGATCAGAAACAAAGCTGGGATGCCACTCTTCCGAGTTCTATTCAACATTGTACTGGAGTTTCTGGCCATGCGACGTGGCAAAGAGAAAGAAAGAAAAGGCATACCGTTTGAAAAGGAGTAGTTATTTTCATTTGCAGATGACATGATCATCTCTGTGGAAAATTCTAAAGAAATTTCTAAAGCCACTTAGATCAGGAATTTATCCTGTTTTTTATCCCTAGCAATGAACAGTTTGAAATTGAAATTAAGAAGCAATATCATCAGAAAATATGAAATAGTTGGATATACTTCCAATAAAACATGTGAAATACTTGTAAGCTTAAATTTACAACCATGACTGAGAAACCAGAGTCCTAAGTACACGGAGATGTACCATGTTCATGACTGGGGGACTCAGTATGAAGATAATCAGTTCTCCCCAGAATTGTTAAATAGAATCGATGCAATCCAATAAAAATCCCAACCGGCTTTTTTCTTTTTTCTTTTTTTCCTTTCCTTTTAGTATTTGACAATCTGACTGTAAAAATCTATGTGGAAATGCAAAGGAACTAGAATAAGCCAAAACAATTTGAAAAGGGAAAACAAGATTGGACAACTTACACCAAAGCCGCAGTAACAAACACAAGGCACATTACCATAAGGATAAGACACACAGATCAGTGGAGCAGGATGAGGAACCCAGAAATAGACTGATGTATGACTGATTTTCAACAAAGGCAATTTAATAGGGAAAGGATGGTCTTTCAAAACAAAATTGTGCATATCCACATCCAAGAAAACTCATCTCAAACCTTCCTTCCCACTATATACAGTAATTAACTTGAAATGGATGATAAACCTAAACGTGAGAGATAAAGTTATAAAATTTGAATAAGAG